TAAATAAATAAATAAATAAACATTGCCCTTTGGAAAAAAAAATATTTAAAATTCACCAACATAAGTTGCCAATTGCTACAGTTAAATGCTTTTTCAACATCTAAATATAGATCTGTACCAAGAAATTACTTAAAATAATGCAGATATATTTAATATTATTCATTCCTTTGCCTTTTTTGGAATGAATCTACTTTGTACAAGTTAGTATTAAAACTGATGTATTTATGAGGGGAAAAAAACAGATAAAATGATAGTAGCAAAATTAGTTGCAAAATTGGGTGATACTACTACTGAATAAAGGAGTTTTATCTAGGTGTTTTCAAAAATCAGTGGGGTAGTAGTTAAGATATTGGACTAGACCTGGTGAGATCTGGGTTCAAATCCACCCTCATTCATGGAAGCTTACTGGGTGAGTTGAACCAGTCACTTTCTTTCTAGCCCAATTTACTTCACAGTCTTGTTGTTGTGAGGATAAAATTAAAAGAGATTTCCATGTAAGCTTGATTTTTTTTTTTTTTTGGTGTGCCTTCGAGTCAGTTTTGACTCCTGGTGACTGCCTGGACTAGTCCCTGCAGATTTCCTGGCAATATTTTTCAGAAGTGGGTTGCCATTGCCTCCTTCCTTGGGCTGAGAGTGACTGTCCCAAGGTCACCTAGCTGGCTTTGTGCCTAAGGCAGGACTAGAACTCCCAGTCCCCTGGTTTCTAGCCTGGTGCCTTAATCACTACTCCAAACTGGCTTTCCCCTGAAGAAATAGCAGGACATAAATCTATCAGATATATTTTTGTGCAATGAACACGTCTTATTAGTTTACTATTGTGGAGTCCAAATAAAGATAAAGATATGCTTTAAGAAATTACAGGTGTTGACCAAAAACAGTTTTAATTTGCCAGTTATGATAATATACAATGCAATCTATCTTTTGTCCTAGCCCATTTATAACACTGAAAAGTGTTAATCTCTCAGTTAAAGGAGACTACTGCAATTCAGTAGCATACTCTACGTGGGGCTATAGTACCTCTGAAAACTACTTGGAAGCTGCAACAGGTGAAGTGGGCAAGAGCTGTTATAGCTGAGATGCAGCAATATTTCAGGTATTGCATTGATTTCTAGAAGGCTTCCAGCTACAATTATGTTGTTTTTTACCTTTAAAACCTGAGTGGCTTGGTTCTTAAGTGCTTGAAATCATGCCTTCTCCAGGTAGAACTGACCTATCCTGTCCTCTTGTCCCAAGTGGGAACATTACAGGTTCTCATTCCATGTGAGATGAGATTGATTTGGGCTCATGAATGCTGCTTTTTAATGGTGGCCCTTATTATTAATGATGTATTTATGGAAAAAAAAACAGATAAAATG